AAAAATAATACAAAGAGTCAAGCTAAAATTTTGGATATGATGTCAACATTAGATATTTTAGATATATGGAGAGAGTCTAACCCAGATACAAAACGATATACGTGGCGGGGTCCACATAAAAAACAGGCACGTCTAGATTATTTTCTGATATTTTCTGATTTAGTATCATGTGTTTCAAATACTGACATTGGGGTAAGTTATAGATCTGATCACTCTCCAGTTTCTGTTTCTTTTAAATTTATTGAACAGCAGAGAGAAAAAGGTACCTGGAAATTTAACAATACTTTATTGCGCGATGCTAATTATGTACAAAAGGTAAAACAGTGTATTGTGGAAACATTGAATCAATATAGATTACCTGATGAACAAAATAACACTATATATTGACGACCAACTTTTATGGGAAACTATTAAACTAATGATAAGGGGTATAACTATAAAATATTGTTCATATCGTAAGAAAATGAGAAACTGTACTGAAGAAAAATTAGAAGAGAAGCTAAGTAAGTTATATTCGGATGAAACACAAAACGACATTAGTGCAGACATAGAAAGAGCAGATCTAGAACTTAAGAATATAAGGGAAGAAAAGATTAAAGGGATGATTTTAAGGTCAAAGGCAAAATGGAAGGTAGAGGGGGAAAAAGCTAAAAATACTTCTGTAACCTAGAAAAACGTCATTATACCGAAAAGCTCATACCTAGATTATTAACCGATGAAAATAAAGTGATTACGGATATTAAAAAAATAATAACATGACAAACTAAATTTTATGAGGAACTATACATCAGAAGAGAAGCAAACATTGATGACGCACATTCTGATTTTGTTTTCAATGAAGAAAACCCATACAACAAAAAAATAACAACAGAACAAGCTAATAAGATGGAAGTCTTGTTAAGTAGATTGGAATGTTTAAATTCTTTAAAAAATATGTGAAACTTTAAATCATCTGGTCTAGACGGTTTCACAGTTGAATTTTATAATGTAATGATTTACATGAACCTCTTATAAAATCTCATTAAACAAAGCATTAGAAGTAGGATCACTATCTATTTCTCAGAGACAAAGTGTAATTAATTGTATCCCAAAAGACGGAAAGTCAAAACTATTTTTGAAAAATTGGCGACCAATATCTCTTTTAAATGTGGACTATAAAATTGCAGCAGCAAGTATTGCATATAGAATAAAACCAGTTTGACAAGATTTAATCATCGATACTCAAAAAGGGTTCATTAAAGGTAGATATATAGGTGAATGTACACGTCTTATTCTTGATCTTATTGAAAAGACTAATGAAAAAGATATTCCAGGGCTACTTATTCTATTAGATTTCGAAAAAGCATTTGACTCTCTAGAATGGCATTTTATACAAAAAGCTCCAACATTTCAAGGATTTGGACCTATTATTAGAAAGTCGATACAAACTTTTTAGAAATATATTACAAGTTGTATTTATAATAACGGTCACGGATCAAGATTTTTTGACATTAAAAGAGGAGTTCGACAAGGGGACCCTCTTTCCCCATATTTGTTCATTTTGTCTGTGGAATTACTAAGCAGTTCCTTAAAATTTAACCCTGATATTAAAGGGCTTAATATTGACCACTCTGAATACCTACTAAGTCAATATGCAGATGATTCAACACTCTGTCTTGCAGATGATGAACAATCTCTAAAGGAAACATTTGTTACTTTAGATTATTTTGCTGAATGTTCTGGATTGAAATTAAATTAGGAAACGCCCATGTAGTTTTTTGGCTAGGGGCAAAGCGGGGTTGTGGGGTAGAATCGTTTTTGGAATCACAGAGGGAAGTTTAAGCTCCTTGGGATCACATATGATCTGAATCAGGAGGATGTAACATTACAAAACTTTGAAGAAAAATTTGAATCTGATAAAGAAACTATTAAATGACTGGTCTTTTAGAAATCTTAGTTACATAGGGAAAGTCACGGTGATCAAGACACTAGCACTCTCAATATTCACACATATTTTTACAGTACTTCCAGACCCTTCTGATGTGTTCATTAACAACCTCCAAAAACTATTTTTTATTTTTTTATGGTCAGGGAAAATTGACAAGATTAAAAGGAATGTAATGATAAACTCATACGAGAATGGAGGCCTTAGACTCACTCATGTAAAATCATACTGCCAACCACTAAAAATGACATAGATAAAAAAATACTAGACCCAAACAACAATTATCATTGGAAAAATTTAATTTCTGATAAACTTCAAAGATTTGGGGGCGAATCAATTTGGTACATGAATAGCGAGAGCCTAAACAACATAGCAGATCATTTCAATCCTTTCTGGAGTAATATTATTAAAATATGGGCTTCTATAGAGCGTGCTCCACCCACAACCCCGTCAGAAATACTATCACAACCAATATGGTTTAACAATAAAATTAAGATAAACAAACAGTATGTACTGTATCAAAGGTGGGTAGAAAATAATATTTTCTTCATTAAAGACTTAGTTAATGACAGGGGTGAATTTATTGATGTGAATCTACTTAAACTTCAATATGATATCCAAATTAACTTCGTTGAGTACTATGGCTTACTAGCATCTATCCCAAATTCATGGAAAAATGTGATTAAAACATACAAGAAAAATATTGATGTACCAGAAAACAAATATATACAAATACTAAAAGGGAAAGAAAAGATAACTAGAGATTTTTATGCAGTATTGGTCAATCAATATCTAGATCTCCCTATTTCATCTATGCAAAAATGGCAAAGGAAAATGGGATTAGATATATATTATGCACATAACAAATGACAGTTCGAAGATGTACTTCAAACTACCCTTCAATATAACAGATGACACAACATTACAAACTGTCGACTAATTTAAATTGCTACATGGAATACTTTATACAAACTCTAGACTAATGAAAATGAACATTACAGAAACAGAAATTTATAATATTAGACGGTAAATAGAGAAACGCTGACACATTTATTTTGGGATTGTCCTCATACACGTGCGTTATGATCATTTTTAAGACAACAATTTGTAACTAATTGTAATATAGATTTTCCATGGTCAAATATTTACTTTATATTCGGAATAGATGACAATCCCGAAAATGACAACTATTGGCGGGGTCCGTTCTGCAATATCATACTATAAGCTAATTGAAAATCAATGTATCCTGTCATATCCCCGAGCAAAAGCCGACCAAGTAGTAGCGAAGTGGGCCGTTATCAGCACAGCATTGAACACTGATTAATTGAATTTAAATTCATATTTTGCCCATTCTTAATATCGATGTTAATCATATCTAGAATTATTTATTACCTAGAAATAAGAGCGCAAGCAGTTGTTATTGTACAGGAAAAAGAAACAAAATGAAAAAGAAGCTATAATTCATTAGTATGCGAGACAATATGAAATACAATGTAATAATTGTCATGTACTCCACTGTATACTAACATGTGAACAATCAAAAATAAAATATGATAAAAAATACGGTAAGCTGAGGGTCGCCTAGGAGTAATGAAGGCCTTGTCCTGAGAGCCAGCCTGTGAACAAAGTTCACAAGGCGAAACCTCACTACAAGGACGAAATTAAACAAAGTTTACAAGTAAAGAAATACGGGAAAAAATAAACTACGGCAGTACAAAGTACGCAACGTAAAATGAAATTCACCCGAAATAGGCAACGTTTGCTGAAACAACCGACCGTAACCGAAATAAACACCGGTCGGAAATTTACAACCCGCCGACAGTAAACACAGTAATGGCGGACCATGTGGCACACCAGCGGGACACGTGGAGAGAAAAAAACTGGCCGAAAAAGGCACAAAAATAATTGTCAACAACAATTAATTTAAATAACAAGGGCAGATGGGTAAATAACACACAAACTGCGCAATAATTTGACAAGACACTCAAACCAATCCGACAAAAGTTTTGATATGGAGCTAGCAGCAGGCGCCGTAAAAGGAAGAGGAAGGGAGATCACTCCGTGGCTCTGTCGTCGCGATATGGGTTACCTGACGGTAGGGAGTTCGGATATTTGAATCTTTTGTTTATGGGCTACAAAGATGGGTGAAGGTTTTGTTTATGCATACTAAAGTTATGGTAATTATTACTGAAATGAAAGGACGTTTTAGGGCATATGCGTCTTGTGTGTTTATTCTTGAACACCGACCTGAGTCATATTAAATAATAATAATAATAATAATTCCAGGTTCCTATATACCACTTTATTACAACCTAGTTCGTAGGTCGTCTCAGGGCAGTTCACAAATTATTATCCGTGGTTATAGGGCCTTTGCAACCAGACAATACCTTTCTCAACTCCCGGCGCCAACAGCTAGAATTCAACAATTCTAGCACTGTGCAACCACGTACTCATTTACAGCTGAGTAGACTGGAACAAGCGGAGTAAAGTATCTTGCTCCAAGATACAACTCAGTGCCGTGCCTTGACTCGAACCCGCAACCCTTCGGTCACGAGCCTGGCGTTCTTCAACTAGACCACCGTGCCTCCATAACAAAACATCAGCCTATATTGTGATCCTTGTGAACTTATTATCACGTGGTTTAAAAGTATATTTACATATGATATTTTCTGTTAAACAATTATTTGATCTTTGTTATCATGCATTTGGTAGATATATCTCCTGTAGCACACACAGGGTCTGCACTGTTTAAGCGTTACAAAATCATCACGTTCATTATCATGAAATACACATAAACAAAAGATGGTTTGAATATTTTATTTAATATGCTGTTGAAACTTTAACAAGTAAATATGTATCAAGTTGCAGATACATGTATCCCAATAAATTACATTGTTAGTACGTATAAGGTAAGGATCCATCTTTGTATTCCTATAATGCTTTCATAAGCTACTTACCTATGCAATATATTAAGTAAAGAACTAAGCAAATCCACGTTTTATGAACAGAATGTTCATGTATCTGTAATCGCAAGGTTATCTCAGGACGACCTTATTGTACAGTGGCCTTGGCCTGACTGAGTGCAAACAGACGTTAAGCAGTATATGCCATACTGAACCTTTAATATCGTTAGTGGTTTGATAGTGGGGAACGTAAAATCGAACTAACTGTGTTTATATATTTATATTACCGTGCTGCGCTGAAGGAGCATTTTCTCTTGTTATCTTTTCTCAATGTAAGAAAACTACAGAACTTGTCACGAACGACGATCAAGGTAAATATTGATATTTATACAGTCTTTGACGAACATGTCGAATGTCTGTTGCCTCGTGGAATTTATAACAATGTACATATGCAAAAATAGAAATATAGGATATAGAGCATCGACAAGATGGCTGAATGCTCCTGCCACTTATGAAATATGTGTACTTGATTTTGTCATTTGCATTCTATACATGTATGATGTATTCAAATAATTGAAATATTGAGTTAAAGTTTTGTTTCTCTCTCCATTGTAAGTATTGTTATAACAGTACGCCTCTGTACGTATGGAAAGTAGATTAAAAGCATATACCAGTCTGTAGCAGAAAATAGAACAGAAAACGCGGTGAGATAAAAAGACAACCCGAACACGTTCGAGCAGGGAAAAGTATTCAAGGGTTTTTTGTAAGTGTCATAGATAATGGAGAACTAACCAACGTTGAAAGTACTTGTTTCACAATTGTTGTGAAATAGATATAGTTTATAAGTTTTTTTTCAGTCCACATTGAGAACGTCAACAATGGACTTCTATCTTGTCGTCATCGGTACACTGCTGGCGGCTATATGTATGTGGAAAATCATAGCGGTGGCACAGACATACAAGAAAAACATAGCGTTATATCATCAGAAGAAAATCCAGCCAATCGGAAAGTATCATCCTATATGGGGACATCTTTACCTGGTATGTAAACAAAGTAAAACTGAATGTAACACCGGTCCGTGTTTTATAATTATTTCACTTACAATGCATAGTCATTCAGGCTGTTGATTTACAAGTTCACATACTGTAAGCGTACTAATTTTAGCGAATTTTGAAAAACGTCTCGTTTACTAATTCATGTCCATTCCTAAAATTGGACCATGCAGCACAGCATATCAAAACCATGACATGCAAGATTACATAAAATAATAGCAACTCACCTGTGTACCTATATATGTTTTGTTCTGAGGTAATCACCAGGTTTATCTGACTCACTGATACATGTATGTGGGCTTTGTTCCCATACAGCCGCTCAATACCCCGTATATATTATAGTTTTATTAAGGAGAATCTAAAACAATGTGTTGATGTTTGCATGGTAGTGTATCAGATCACGGTTGTGTATCAGATCACGGTTGTGTATCAGATCATGGTAGTGTGTCAGATCATAGTAGTGTGTCAGATCACGGTAGTGTATCAGATCACTGTAGTATATCAGATCACGGTTGTGTATCAGATCACGGTAGTGTGTCAGATCATGGTAGTGTGTCAGATCATGGTAGTGTATCAGATCATGGTAGTGTGTCAGATCACGGTAGTGTGTCAGATCACGGTAGTGTGTCAGATCATGGTAGTGTATCAGATCACGGTTGTGTATCAGATCATGGTAGTGTGTCAGACCATGATCATTTGTATATGATCATTTTCAGTATAATAAATCATTGACTAAGCTACAACTCACATATTCCTTCCGTCAATCAAAATAGTCTAACAATGACAGGTGTATATACATACACGCTGTTTAGGTAGCCATGCCAATAAGAAAGCATGTGGCAAATATCTGTTGTCAACTGGCATGGGCCGAACAGGTAATTGGAATAAAACGACGTTGTTTTCACAAAAATAACTTTCAGAAAAGATTCCATCTTAAATACGGATAAATCTTTCACTTTTTTTTTATAACATACACGATTCAAGGTGGTTTTCTGATCGTCTGCAAATCTGACTAAATCGAACATCGATAAGCCTATCGGCAGAGCGTGTACGCTTTATTAAAGGCAGTCACTCAAACAGGTCCGAAGAGGACTGCCAACAGCCAAATCCACGAGACATAAAATACACAAAACAATTGTGATTTCAGCAATTCTTCTTTGAAAAAAAAGATCGGAAAGTATTTGGCTGTTCTGAGCCTGTTAATATTTTTTTTTCAAACTCTAACTTTTATTATTATCATATTCTGTTCAATTCGCATGTATGTGACTTTGTGAGTTCTTGCCGGTTAATAGTATAATGCGACCTTGACTCTTTGCAATACACAAACTTGCAAACTTCACCACTTTCCCCAAGTCGTTTTGACACATTCTTACTGTCAAGATTAAATAGTTCAGCATGATTTTACCGAAGAACGGCATTTTAACCCCAGAGTGCTTATTACGATGTAATTCTTCGTTATGTTTCCCCATGCGTGGTATCGTATCCTGAAAGTTGGGCCGACTTTACTCGAGTTTATTTATCCGATTCTATCGTATACTATGACTTAAACTTGCAATGTTTCGTAATGGTTAAATAGACAATGCAATCAGGTGTTATTCAACAAAATTTAACAGTGTATTGCTGCGAATTATCAAAGATCCATATGCCTTACAGGCCTTCATGTACAAAATAACCCGTGTTATGAGGTAAACTGGAGGCACAAACCATCCATTATTACCTCTCCAATGAAATGTGAAAGCATCCATTACTGAGGAACCAGGATTCTAGAACCTAGAGAAAAACACCTGGTATTTAGCATTGTAGTGTGAAGCAAACCAATCAACATCATATGGTCCCCAAAGTCTCTCTAACGGTCTGAATATAGCCACCGAGATCCCCCAATCATCAGGATCTGTAATCCTGCTGAGGTAATCTGCCCTCTCATTATCTAATCTTGGTAGCCTTCAGCTCCCTCCAAGTTGAGCTCTTTGTAGATTCTGTTGGTGACCATAGTCCATTAGAAACCCCTAAACAACATTCAACACAATAACCTCCATACCCTGAATTGCTAGCATCCGAGTAAACAACTCGATCACACTGAGGGCTGTACTTGATTTCACATCTATTCAATCCATCCAGAAATTCAACTGTGCTACAGACTCAACTCCCAGAGTTAACTTCTCATTCCAGGAGTTTGATGTAGCTATTTGTAAACTTAAGCTTCTAGTCATAGGTTGAGTGACATTACCCATAACAATTGACATGGATATGATATGACCAACGACTTTTGCTACCTTTCTGACATGAACTGTCTGCTTCTTCGTAACTGACAACAATAAATTATTGATACAATCACGCGCTTTATCCGTCTTAAAACTTGGAATTGAAAGAACTCCGATCAGAGCATTGATGTCTACCCCTAGGAAAACCAACTATTGTACAGGCTCCCACAGGGACTTGTCGGCTTTTGGTACAAACCCTGATGCTAATAAGTCAGATTTCACCTGAAGAGCCCGATTCAAAGCCACATCCTTTTCCTGATTACAACATAAGCCATCATCTAGGTACATAAGGATCTGGAAACCCTCTGCTCTCCACTAACCAACGAGAGGACGAGTGAGTTTTGTAAACAAGTATGTAGCAGTTCTAATTCCAAAAGGCAAAACCAGGAATTTATAAAAACATCTTTTACCAACTTATCTTCCAAGAAAAAACCAAGAAATTTAGTATGCTCTGGGAATATAGCAACATGATGATAGGCAGAATGATTGTCAAATCTGAACATCCAGGGCCCGGGATCATGAAACGGACTTAAGTCTAAGACAAAATTTGAACTTAAGTTTGAAGTTTTGACTTAGTTAAGACCAAAATCTTAAGTGGAACATGAAACGTGCTAAGCAAAATCTTAGCTGAGACTGAACTTAAGTCAAAAAGTATTCGTTGTCATGCACACGCGCGCGCCGAATTGCGTATTTACGGTATTTATAGGAACTCTTCAATGCGGGAAACCACGTTGTTGTCGGTAAACATAAAAACAAAATGGAGAAAAGGAAGAGTACAGAGTATATAAGGAGAATTTAACTGGATTTCGGATTACGAAGTTGTTTTCGGAGCAAGAAATGGTCAACAATTAAAGCCTGCTGTTCCAAAGGCTGGATGACAAAGTCGCAAAAGAAATGCAGTGTGGCTAACCGCCTGACTACTCGTAAGCTCCCCGAAGTGTTTACAAAATTCGCATTGTAAATTTCCCATTTATACAATACCTTTTTCACACGTTTCTCAAATTAGTATGTCGTTGATTTAGTTTGTATAAAGTCTCGAGTAAGTTTGTACACGTTTTACAATTTGAGAACTGGACTGTCTCTGTTCAATAGTCTATATGGTCACAGTGAAAAAAAAGTCCCGAAACGACCTGACACCCCCACAAGAGGTTTAAATTTCTTAGGTTTAAAAGCTTTATCATATTAAATCAATGCACTATTCACACTTCCAGTACTACGACGTATTTGACCTTTGTCATACAAGAATTAATTTTGTCTCAAGCTTTCATATAATTTTCAATTGTTTGAAAATGAAGATCAAAGGAACAGAGTACTTACTATTGAATACATATATATTTCTACACTTAGTGTAAGTGGAAGAGGGGAACATACAGCCTTCAGTATACTAGAGGGTTCATGGTGATGCTGTACATCAGATATTACAATTCCCTGTTAGACTTGGATCATAAATGTTTACCAAAACATATCATTACATGTACACCATACATGTAAATTTCTTCATGATTAAAGACTGTAATAAAATGTATTTCTGTAAACAGAAGTTAATATTTGCTTATTTTAGACACTCTACATAACAATAAAGTTAGGAATTATTTGATAGGGATAGGGTTAATACAATTCGTCTTCTCCCCCACCCTTATTTCGAGTTATAAATTTTGGTGCAATTGCATGTAAAATATTTAGTACACAGGATAATCCTGGAGGGGGCCGTATGGGGTATTGACCCCTCAAAAATGAAATTGACCCTTCCATGTTCAAATTTAATCTTACATAGAATAACCCTCTTAATTTTGATAAGTCTTATTTTTTACATTATGATTTAAGGGAATTAATGGAAAAAACTATTCGGATAATATTAATGTTTCAATTAGTGATGAGATGAAGTCATGAGTCAATGGCAAGGTCAAAATGATCTTTTTACATTTGAGATATATATTTAAATGAAATTGTCAAGAAAAGTTAAACTTGCTTCTATATTTGATATGATTTTTATGAATTGCACGGTCAATATGAATGCCTGTATCGTGCAAACTTATCCTCAACAATGCAATTTTTACACAATATTATTTTTGTATTGTCAGTTCCTATCTCAACTTTGTTACCAGTCTGCCATCATAATTGGGGCCACATTAAGTACAGCAACAGATTCACCAGACGTGACAGAAATCAAAGAGGAAGCAGTCATAATCTCTCTAAGACAGTCTGTTGTCAGAGGACATTTCCATCATAAATAAGGATCCATGGAATCTCATCCCAGAGTGTGTCAAACTAGTCAAAATTTAACTGCATCTCCTAAATTCCTACAAATAGAAAACTCTTCTATGGACACTAAGCTGCGATAGTTACACAGCAAAATATCTTCAAGGTTATATAACTAACATGTACATGTTATCTTGCTGAACACCAAAATAATATTGATGATAATTTGTCGTTTTAGTGGCTAAGTGAGTTTGGATAGGAATGTCTGTATCGATGAGCAGTATTTAAAATTATATACCTGGTAACTGGATAGTTTAAAGTGCAGTATACCCTCAGAAAAGACTATCCAGATGAAATTTACTAGTTTTTTTTATCTAACCTCTGTCTGGCGTCAACGTTATACTTTAAACATCTTTTGCCCAGGATGTTGATATATATATTTTGGTGGTAAAATGTTGAGATGAATGACCTTGACTTATACTCAAGTTGCAATAAACAGGAGGTCTAGGGTGGTGTTATCAAGCAATTAACATGCTAGAATGAAGAGATGTGATGTATGTGAAATTGAATGACATTGACTAGCCTTCAAGGTCACAGGTCAAATGTGTAAAATCCTTTTAAATAAATGACTATTACTGAATATCAGGGAAACTTTGGTGATGATACTTAGCCAATAACATGCTAGGATAAAGGGTTCTAAAATATATTCAAATGCTCTTGAATGACATTGACTCAATTTTAGAGTATATGTTGAAATTGTTAATTTTAGGGTCATATAGTATTATGTTTAAATTTGTAAAACATTTAATTGACTTCTGAATAATAAAAGGGACTGGCTGAAGTTCATGACATTTTGTGATGTAGGTTAAAGGTTTAAATCAATATGATGTGTTAGAAGTGACTAAATGGCTATAACAACCAGCTTAGTTCAGATAAAAAAAATGTTCAAGTCTTCCAACAAAGATTGATTCACAAAGATAAAAAAAGGTGTAGAAAAATAAGATCTGCCAAAAAGACCCCAAACATGCATAGTCTGATTGAACAGCTTAAAGACTTTCTTGTACTCTTTTTGATAAACATGTATTTTTTCCAACAGTTTGAAAAATTCAAAATAAAATTCCAGGTGAGCTATCAAGGCCCCTGGGCCTCTTGTTTTATGTATTTAACCAGTAGGTAGACTAATTGAGTTATAAGCATTCATGTTTTGATATTTCATATTATTTTTTTAACTATTCCTTAAGTATATATATATCTTTAGTCAACTTGTTATCGAATATTTTGGCTCAAATATCCTTACAAATGTGTAATCTTTCTATTTTTTTTCATACCATAACGATATCGCATATTTTTCTTTTAGTTGTTACAAACTCTAACTCTAAGCCATATTTTTTTTTATGGTTCAGGAAACATACATTAGATAATATTCAGTTATAGCCTTTGGTTGTGGTCGACACCTGGATTTATTTACTATAGAAAAGATACATTAACCGAGGAGGCAGTGCGTTCGTTTGGAGACACGTCATAATTCTATTTTTAGAAACACCTAGTCCTTCAACAAAAATCACACTTTCCAAGTCAATATCGGTTTTTAGCGGTGGACACGTGATGCACTTCTTGTCAATCTCTTGTCGGGGAAAAAAATGAAAAAAATAATAAAAACTGATATCACCTGTATACCAATATCATTATTACTAAAAATGTACTGAAAATCTGTTTGAAATATATGGTGATTTCTTATATTGAGTAATTCCATGATGATGTTTAGTTGTTATGTACATGTATTACTTTAGTGCCATATTTAGCCAAACTCTTGTAATTTATATTGTGCTTGTTTTGACCGATAAAATGTTGAATTATCCTACAAAATTATGTTAATTTTCTATTCAATAAAAGAGGTTCCACATTGTTTATCATGTTTAACTAACTGCAGTTAGTTATTGATATTCATTTTTATCAAAAAGTGAATCAGCTGATAAGAGTTTTTCTTTTTCAAAATTAATAAACTATCTCTATTGAGATAAAGAAGCAAAATATGTTGAGGAGTTGTGGAAATTCTTTGTACCATGTTTTTATGAAACTCGATTGATTCACACTATAAAGCCGACAGTAGCAAGTTTCATTCTCTTGTTGAGTGCCATTCCTTCAGTACCTTTTAATATAACACCTGATATCTTTCCAAAATCTCTTTCAAAAGTCTTGGTCAAATCATTCTTTGATTGAAACTTGACTGCTTATATTGGTATTCTTCTTATTACAATAACAATAATAAGATGTGTGTTTTTAATTAGAACTGTAACAGATCAATTGATTTTGTTTCAAATGTTGATCTGATTATTTTGCTAGCAATCCATCCCTTTATAAGTATAGGGGTAAATAATAATTATAACTTATAAAATATCCCGATGATCTCCAAGAATTATGACATGTAAGCCTTTTGAGCAATATTGCCGAGGCTGGTATTACTTATAAATTATAATTATAGAAATAAAGTAATTGGTTTAAAAGAATATTTTCTCAGATATCCATGGAATAGTGTGCTATGATATATCTGGAAAGATTAAACATATCTATGAGTCATGGTTGTTCTTAGACAATCAGTCCTTATGATATATTTTTTTTCTTTTTTTTTACAGTTTATACATGTATATTTGATTATCTGAACCTCGGTGCGATTATTTGGTTGTCTTACTAATGATTTGACAGCTAAAAAAATCACCAAAAAAATCACCTATTTGGTTGGAGATTTCTGTGTCTCACCCTCCAGGTAGGGGAATATTCTCTATTATTAATCAACACATCAGATTTGTATAAAGTCCATAGACATGAAATTTTTCATAAAAGCTGAAGGCCTGACAAGGTTGATCAGTTTCTTTAAATATTGAAAAGCTGAATGTCTTACAATTCTTTCATTAATCTTAATCCTGCCAGGACATGCTGACTGACTATATTCAAATATATATATTGCAAATTCTGGTTAAATATTTAAAGTGTAAAACAACTATATAAAAAAAATCCAGCTAGAAAGTAACAATTTTCTAAGCAATGTGTGATTATTAAAATAAAGAATCATTTTGGCTAAAAGGAACACTACATCTTCGTTTTATCCGCAGTACGGTGATTATTGTGATCTCGCAAATGAGAGCGTTTATTAGTTTTATGACTGTACCGTCGAGGATGCGGCGCTGCTGTCGCATTGTTTACAACACCGGAAAGGTGTAAGTTCAAGCGAACGTCTGTTTGCAGTAGACATATAAGTATGTCTTTTATAGGGATGTACACGTCTACAATAAAATGAGACTCATGATTTTATTTCCAGACTGAATAACATCCAAAATATATTCACTTGCTCCAATTTCCCTCCAAAATTCTATGTTTTTACGAAATCTTCCCTTCACCAATATTTCTTTATCTCCCTGTTCGCACTTATGAAAATCTTTAGTAAAATGACATAATTCATTGTCAATATTATCTTTGTCACACTGCTCAAAATATTTATCTAACACAAGCTGTGTCCCCCTCGTGTGCCTCTCATTCATTTTATCCACTTCACTTCGCCGTTGGGTGGAATCCCTGTCGTCAATCCCCTGAGTTGACTGGACAATCCCTTCTGAAATGCTCTAACTGGCCACATGCAAAGCAGGCTCCTCCAGGCCATGGCTTCCTTGCAGCGACGACTGTGTTGTCACGAAAAAAGTTTTGACCGGAAGTAGTGCCAGCACGACTAAAAGCATGAGCGCCATCCGGGACGCGGAATCCAGCTTTACGTTTCCTCTGCTCTTTAATTTTGGTTAGTCTCTCTTTCTTCTTCTTCTGGGCTCTAGCTTCGGCTTTGTAAATCTTCTTTTCGTCTTCGGAATCACTGGCTATATGATTTGACACATAGCACTTCACAGTGTCCCAACCACACTCCGAGGAGTCGGCCAATTTGATAAGTTTATTTCTGGGTTTTAGGTCCTCTACACACTTGTTAAGTAATTCCGCACCATAATCTACCTTATTGGCTCCCAAGGCCCATGCGACCTGTTTAATGTCTTCTTTTAGTTCAGAATTAAATTTAAATTGTTCTTTATAACCGTTTCTATGCCACGTAATTTCTGTTTCCGCTTTCAATTTTTTAATATCCTCTCTGGAACTCCCTTCAGTCCCCGCTCTGAAATCTCTCTTTAAATTATCAATTTGCGAGTCCATATAGCGTCGTAAATCCTCCTTCTGACTTCTGATAGCCTCCAACAAAGTCCCCAATGAAGGTTGTTCATCTGACATATTCTGGCGTAGTCGAGCAAAAGTTCAACCGACCGTCCTGACCAGTGCGTTGCCCTGAATTGACTTGCTAGCTCACCAGCTGCACGTGCATATCATGCCAATACAGGTGTGCCACCTACTGGGCGAACCATTAGAGAAAACTATTTCGAGCTCATTCCTTGTAGTCAACGGCGAAAAATATGATATATCTGATAAATTGCATGAGTGTTAAAAGAGTTCCCATTGCCGGCATTGGTTATTTCAACCGATGTGCATTTTGTACGATTTCGCAGACCTTAGTCTTGTTTTTGTGGTAATAAACCTATTTGTTTTTAATATTGTCTTTTTTGGCACATTTACAATTGCATTGTCAAGTCTACATTGCCCGGCGATATTTCAGTAGCCGTCATGTTTATTTACATTGGATATTGTAGTTCCGGTCGGTGTTGTATTAGTACGCTAAGAAGTATGTCTCGTGGTGCATGGTATTTAAAGTCCCATCATTAACACAGCTTTCAAATAGACTATATAATGACAATGCCATGCAAATGTAAATATATTATATTTATTTAGTTTTCAGGTTTTGACGAAGTCATAGATCTTTGCTCCAAGGTAGCCGGCCAAACAAAAGCCCGCATCGTATCATACTGGATAATGGGTTTCTTTCCCGTCTTGTGTGTTTGTCATTCTGCGACAGCTAAAGTCGTTCTGAAGTCTTCAGAACCAAAACCTAAGCACCCGGGTGGGGGCTACAACACCGTAATGGGTTGGTTAGGTATGTATATATGTGTATTATGTGTGGCAGTCATCCATATGCGCTCAGGTAGAGCCTACTAACTGACTTAATTGTAATAAGTAACAACAAGAAACAATGAAATGAGAGTTTTGCATGCAGACCCTTGAAAAAGGTACAGGGATGATATGACCAGCCTGTCTGGAAGGTTAATCGTCTTCTGATTATAAGTCGAATCCAAGTAATGTCAAGTCCTCCCATTGAGACCGCGAGTAGTACGTATATACATATATACATATGTGGGGCTTACTATCCACATGCACAATCAACATATATGTAACAATATGTATATATGGTTCACATGTACTTCTCCCTGTGCACTGTTTTGGTAGATTTACTGTAGCTATCGCCATCATTTTACTGCAATTTCATTAATTGTGGTCATTTTTGCGTATTTTGTCTGGAATACATTAGCGGGGTTCAAATCCCAAAAACGCCGTTAAAGATTGTTATTGACACACGTAACAAAATGCTAACAATTCATGTTCTGTTTCTAAAATGAAAGTCTCACAAACACAAAAAGTACCACACCCATCTGCGACAATGCACCAGAGGTGGTATGCATATAATTGGAAAAGAAGAAGAACCAGTGTTGTATGTCAATGTATTAAAATGACCAACTTTCGCTGATATGTCTTGTTTGTATGTGTATAATTTCCCCAATGCCCGCCTTTTCCCTGTATTTAGTTTTCCGTTTTTAGGACTTTTTTCCCCAACTACCACCGTTCCCTTCACTATTTATAAGAGTGTCTTCAGTTTAAGCCGGGAAGGGTCAGCTTGTTGCCCTTAGATAGGAGATAGGCTCGTGCAGAATTCCGCATATATTTTCAGAATCTAGAAATTCAAATTTATTTTTAACATTCATCTTAATATTTAACAATATCATAATTGTATGCCTTTTTAAAAGATATAAAAAAAACATTCATCAAATGAATCGACTTTTGTTTCTGTAGGTGACGGATTACTTCTCAGTGAGGGTAAGAAGTGGGAGAGAAATCGACGTCTATTGACACCAGCATTCCACTTCGATGTACTCAAACCTTATGTTTCCATCTACAACAAAGTCTTCGATATTTTCTTGGTAAGGTAACTTTGATGCTCTCAAGTTGAGAATGGCACTTGTCATTGCTGGTTGTCAAAATGATTGTTTTTCTCACTACTGCTATGTCTCTTGTCGATTTAAAGGTTTGATTCTGTGTAATCTGCTTAAAGGCCACAAGGAAAATTAAAATGTATCGAATACAAAAGGTTGTTGCCCTGACATCCCTATTCGCCACCAAAAACATTATATTCTCCTTAGCTAAATCTCTACTAGTATGAGAACTTGGATACTTTTGGCAGAGTGAAGTACTGCATCAATAAAGTATATTGTCGGCAAGATGAAGTTTGTGACAGCCCTGTGAGTGGAAGACATGGTCCATAAAACTAACAAATCTACTACATAAACATATTTGATATAAAATAATATATGAAATAATGAGTATTTCCTGATTAACACATTACATTGTAAATGTCAAAAGGATAAGTTGGAGAAGGCGACATCGTCCGGTAGTAGTGTGGAGATCTATAACTTGGTAAGCCTGGCAACTCTTGATACCATGCTGCGCTGTTCTGTTTCATACGATGGTAAAGTCCAACAACAGGGGTACGTTATTGAGTTCTTTTCACACGTTATGTTAAATACATTTTGTTCTATTTCAATTTCTTCTTAATTGGGCTGAATGAAGCCCCGAATTCTTGTGTTTAATGTCAGCTTACATTACATCCCTCTTTTTAACATTATGTCAATACGAAGACCTTCACAAGCTTCAGTATCAAGTCCAATTATTAAAAAATAACATGTTTTAATTGAAATAAAAGAACTGAATCTTGCCTTTGTCTTTTTCATGTGGTAATGATTAATTGTTCTTTGTTTTCATTACCAAATTCTCTAATCTGATTGGTAGATAAAATTAATTCATTGTTCTATGAAAGGAAAAAAATAAGCCACTAATACTCTAATAAAGTTTGGCGAGTACAGTGCACGTTAAATATGATTCAAATGCATGGTCTACCCTGACCAGGTCTAGGAATCCGGATCTTCCCAAATGAAATTTGAATGCTTTTCATTAAGGTACCAGGATATCATATTCATAATCAATGAACGTAACTGTAGAAACTGGGAAATACATTCAAATTGAATTGGATTTTAGAATAAAAGGTATGTTTCACAGTGCCAACAATATGTTGGATGATAATTAAAGGCAAATGTAAGAAATGGTACACACGGCTAACTCAGCACAAACAAATTATCTGTCAAAAAGCCCTAGAAAATATAAATACCTACCTTACTGTAGAGAATCCTGTCCTCCTCCGTTATCGTGTTTGGCTGTGACCAATATCAGTATAGCATACGTGTATTTCAGACATTTGTAACGAACGCCTGTGGCTGAACATGGCGATGTATTTTTTGAACAGAGGTCTCTAGTTTCACATACAACTCGTTATTCTTTTGAGAAATGAAAATGGCAGAGAATGCGTGGTAATAACGCAAAAACACCAGCAAGGTGGGCTCAATAATGTTGAGAAACCACCCGCTGTGAAACCGATGTATTCTGTACAATGAAAACCATGCCCGGTTCACTGCAGAAAGGATGCCATGTCGTCCTCGCCAGAGAGGAAATATGGTTTTCCAACAGAGCTGTTTGAGTGTTTCCAGTGACTCGAAATGAACACATACATACATAGCACGTACACTTCCTTCATGCACGTGGATTCGTTACAAATGTCTGAATAACACATAATCTTTATTGATATTTGTGCTGCCACCCATATTAGTAAGGCTATAGCATACTTCAGACATTTAAACGAACACCTGTGCTTCGAACAACCGGCTTCGACTTGCGGCATACTATGTTCATGTCCGGGAACAATAAAGAAAGGTCTGTAAGAAGTTACAGTCAAGGATGTTCTTCCAGCCAAAAGCACACTATGTGAAACACTGGCATCCATAGTTCAACCGAACACCAGTCTTCAAAAAATTCCCGAGACACTTACACAAATGAGTTCTCAGTTCCCCCACTTTTTAGAGAACAAAGAAAAGTGTTTATATAGGAAGACAATGACAAACTAATTATAATCCGATTCATACTTATCAAACAGGTAACTTGTATGTCTGAAAGTTACCTACATGCATCTGTGACATTTAGCTTTTCTGTGTATGTGATTTGTTAGGTATATTTTGGATATATTATGTTTAAGATTTAATATTTTTTTTGGAAAGGGGGGGGGGGGGGTATGGAATTGATAAAATAAAATAATAAACACTTAATTGTCTGTTGTCTGTTTATCAATTTTTTTATTAATAATTTAAAATTCACTTAACATAATGCAATCATTGCATACATGATGCACAGTACAGATATAGCTATAACTAAAAAAATAAGAATGAACAGTTAAATAGATTAATACTTAAACAATACATTTCATTTACATTACACTTTTTAAGCAACCACATACAAGATAGGCTAAAATATATATACTTAAAGAGCTATGGCGGAAAACTGCCCATGTTCCCCAAAGTCGGCATTTATGAATACGTGAAAAAAATGAGTAAAAAAATTCTATTATCAAAAATGCTAGGAATATACATCAAACCAATTGAATATAATTTTGAACTGCTGAGATATTAGATATTGCTAATATGATTTTGCAAATATAGCCATATTCACTATATCTATGAAAGTGATGGGGTTTCCAAGACTTAAACAATACTTTCATCACTTTCCCATCCAAGGATCAATTTTTGAATACATTTTTGATTCCGTGATTGATTATGCAAACATAAATCGTATGTCACAGTGGTCCTACTTTGGCTGTTTGGGAAAGTGCTCAAAATAATAAAAAAAACATGGTTGATCAAGTTTCTCAGAGCTGGTGTTTCTTGGGATAAAACAGATTGTATTTCCATTTTAGTGTATGTCCTATGTAGCCGAATGTGTAACGCAGTATTGTTTAAACATTAACAAATGATGCAGAAATACAAAATATGTGGGATTGTTGCGTCAAAATAAAAATAAGGCCAAGCAAAACAAAAGAACTGTTATTATCGCAAAAATACACTATAGTGCGACAGCCAAGTGTCACACATATCTGTTGTAATCTATCCTAGATGTAAGAGATGTGATGCTGCGTTCGCGTACTCCATTTAGTCCATCGTCTGGTTCTCCAGGTGTGCTTAGATAATGGTTAAACTCATCATTATCTCACTAATTAGCATAGGCCGTGACCACTTCTAGCTCAGCAGGATGGAAATGACTGCTTGGATAATTATATATATATATATTTTATGATAGTTATAATAAACTAACAACATCTAGGAATTTAGATGATTTGGTTTTTTTTTACATTATAACTAGGTATTAAGGCGTCTTATCAAATATTACAACAATAAAGAACATTGTCATTTCATAAATACATGTATACTACTATCTTCATTATATTTTTTAGGTACAAAACTATTATAAAATAAAATAAAACATTTCATCTTATCATATGTCATACCAGCAGCACAATGATTACAAAATTGATTTATTTAATATTGAATATATATTGATAATTAATATTGAAATATTTCAAAATTAAATACTTTTTATTAGAAATCTGAAAATCTTGTATTAGGTATTATTAGATTAAATATGATCAGCTTCCAGTTTAGATAGAAGGGTTAACTACAGATAAAAACACAGGTAAACACTGCCAATAATACTCAGAAACAGACTATAATCCTTCTAGCAACATTCTTCTCCCCTTATTTTAAAAAGTGAGGGAACTGAGAACAAGCCACACAAACTGCGCCATCACACACAGTCACTGACATTCAACACAGGTGTTCAGGTCCACTTGCATTAAATGCAACGAATGTAATGCTGCCATTGACACAATCATCTCAGCTATTTTCTCAAATAACTCTCTTTCTGTCGGCCTTCTATCCAACTCGTCGTTTGCGCACTTCGTCTTTAATTTTGACAAAAATAGACCAGCTATCGTGTTTTACCGCCTCGCAACAATTTAATAAAATCCGATGATTTCTCTCCGCTCAACTACTATAAGGGTTATGAAAATAATTGATTTTGCGAACTACGCGGATTCATACAGTTTACAAAAAAAATCTGTTCATACCGCTATAAAAAATTAAATCAATGCTTAAAGAAATTGATTTGGTCATAACATGAATTCATCCTGAACTGCTTCAGTTCATTAAATAAAATATAATCTCAATTCATCTCCTAATGCGATCGACCCAAGCAAGATTCTGTCTTTTTACGAATTTCAGGGGAATAACATTTTACAAACTAAAGTTTAAAATAATCGCATATTTATGGACATATAGGGATATATTTAACAACAATTCTTCCTTAATTTAAGAAATGCTTTGCCCTAAACAAGGACAAAACATCACAAACATACGACAAACTATTACATACGTACATAATTATGTGCTTACATTGCAGATCAAACCACCCATACGTCGAGGCTGTACGAACACTTGGCCACCTATCACAAAAGAGAGTAATGTAAGTTGACACGAGATACAAGGAGCGGCGGTCTTGACTTTTCGCTTGATCGCCATGTAAGCATTAGATAAAAAATGCAAGTGAATGTTCATATTCATGCTTCATAAAGATAAGTATCAAACCGAAAAAATAGATTTGCCAGTGTGTTAATCTTATCAACATCTGGCTTTACTTTATATCTGTATCTTCCAATGTGACGTCATGACGTCAAATCGGAAATTAATACCCCACTGCGCGCTTCCATCCCTTTCTTAATAAGTGATAAATATTTTAAGTTATATAATAATTAAAAATATCTGGTTTGTTATCAATGTAAAATAAATTTAACTTATATTTGATATATGTAATCAAAATCAAAATAGCACCTCAAAACAAATTATTATGTCTCAAAGTTTCTTTAGAAGTTTTGTGACAAAATCATTTACGAATGGAGAGTGTTTCTTTTAGCATAAGACCAAGGTTATATTAATCTGTTGTAAAAGTGGACGCTCAGTATTAACAATGTTTAGCTGATTTTCTTAAAGCTTTATTTATCATAATGTGGGTAAGCATTGGTTTCAATGAATTGTAGCGTTACACGTTATTTATCTATATTTATATGTTTAACTATTTTCAAGGTCACCTTGGTACTGGCTGGACTTCATATATTATATATCCCCATCAGGCAGGGAATACTCAAAGTATGCTAGCTACGTACATGACTTCGATGAAAAGGTTATTCGCGAAAGAAAGAAATTGTTGGTGAGTTAACAATTTAAAAATCAAATATGGCTAATCCGTTACATACATAGTCATGCTTTTTTAAATTCAATTTATATTAAATTTTTCCCCAGTGGCAGTTATCTGGAAAAAGCTGTATTCAAATACATTGTCTAGCATGAAGTTCACACAGGTTTACTAATAACAATCGAAATATATTACAAAGTACCATGCCTATATTTTTAGAAATTAAAATTACCTACTTTTTACTAGATTGTGTGAGGAATAACTCGTTTGAGTTTTCATTTCCACAGCAACGATTTGTCTCGCAATTGTGTAGATATTGGATATTAATCTTTCTATACACAAGGCCACATTCACGTGGAATGAAAATGTTTTATCCAAATATTAGATGAGTTTAACAAATAAGGCAATTTCTCATTGTTTTAGACAGCCGATCCGTCAGTTCTCAAAAAGCGCCATCTAGATTTCCTTGACATTCTTCTGACCGCCAAAGATGAGCAGGGTATTGGACTCACGGATCGTGAGATCAGAGACGAGGTGGATACCTTCCTGTTCGAGGGTATGTCTTGCTAGAAATATTTAAGCATTAAACTGCCTACATTTGAAAGTTATTGTTCTATAATTCTCACTAGATTGCAGACAAACTGAATAACGCGCGTTAGCAGGACAATTTAATCAATATATTCCAACGTGAGGATATTCACCTTTTTATACAACATTACTACATAAATTGTTGCGAGTTACATTGATCAATTTGGTTTTTTAATCTCGTAGCACGGATAGGTTACCACGATGAATGGGTATTGTAAGTGATGTGTGATGTGACGTTCATGACGTCACGAATATGTTCTTAATATCACTACACCAACGGAAATTATGTGAGAGTCATGATTTTATATCTTTTTATTTGGTTTTTGTTTTGACGACAAAACTAGAATGTCAATGGCAATGGAGACAGAAACATCCGTCAGGAAAAGAAACAAATTTCGAAATAACTTTCTGAATGTGCTACAAGGACCTGTTATTAGCTAAATGTATTGTTTTACACCTAATAAACCAGTTACAATCATTAACAATTCAATCTGTATGTTATACTCCACGGAGACCAAAGTGGTTTTGACATTGATTGGTAGACAATTAATCGTTTAATTCGAAAATCAATGATGAATCTGTTTGCAGGGCATGATACAACCGCTTCAGCTATCAGTTGGCAGATCTACATGCTCGCAAAGCATCCCGAGGAACAACAGAAAGTGTACAACGAAGTGAAGAGAGTTCTAGGAGACAGACAAGACGTCGAATGGTAGGCTCAGTGAATTATAAGAAAAACAACATTGCGATCTGATAATATCTTTTTGCATTTGACATAACTTTCATCTGTATGCCTTTTTAAGCAGTTTGTGATTTGTTTTGTACAAAACAAAATGGATGTATACGTATATGTAAACCATTGTTAAGAATCTGAAGGGGTAAAATGAATCTATTATGCCTACTGACAACTTCGACAGTTTTTACATTTATGATATGCATGTCGTTGTTTGAAAGCTCCAAAAACAAGTGATAATTCAAAATACGTATCGAGTGTATAAATTCATAGTCATTGAAACAAATAATTTATATTGGTATTTTGCTAATCCTGATTCCCCACAAAAAGACTTTTTCAACACTTAACAAAACTATATGTGAATTGTAAGTGATAAATAGTCGCAGTGTCTGTATTGACATTGTAGTTTGGAATTTGTTCTGGAACGCTTATCATAAGTTGACAATATACTTAGTTTATAATTACTCGATCGTTGACACGTATTGAATGTTATGTAAAATGTTGACAGGTCTGACATCCAAGAGTTCACCAGAATGTCTCTGTTTATAAAGGAGTCGTTGAGAATGTATTCTCCCGTGCCCGGCATAGCAAGAGTGACCACACGTGACATGGATTTAGATGGCGTGAAAATTCCGATTAATACGGAAGTCAACATTTTCATACACGTCTTAAACCATCTGGAAGAATCGTGGACCAAGCCGGAGGTGGGAATCAAAATAATACCTAGTCGGGAAATACAGAAATAGGAAAAGTCACTGATATAACAACGTTTGATACAAATTATCATGTATATATTACTTCACTTCCTAGTGCTCTTTACAGGTCCAACAATGTCTGCCAAAGACTTGGAAACATTGTCAATAATGGACCCAGTATAGTCATCGATATGTATCAGTTGTTCCCTCGTGTGTGGGTATTGGGAGTACTGAATCATCGGCTTAATTCGTCATTTCGTTCATGTATAACAACTAAATATGCCTTTTGCGTATTCTATTCCACTTTGATTTTATATTTCCAACTTGTCCATGTTCAACACGTTTTTATACATAATATCACTAAAACCAAAACGGGACACCTGTGGGAAACGGCCCAAGAAACGTTCATGTAATGCAAAGAAGTATTTTTATGCATACGGTTACGTTAAAGACAATTAACTGTATATAAGCTTCATTGGCTGCTGAATATCATTAGATGGACAATTTAAGAACAAATACCAAAACAGAACTTTCGTGATTTACGTGCGACGCTCTGTATTTGGATATCATTTTCAAAAGTATATTTTACAAAAGAAAAAGAGCTAGTTTGGAAAAAAAATTAATCAGAACTCCCATTGACTCTATAGTATTTTAACTACATATAATTTTCTTGTGACATTGTTTGTTTATTCCCAAATTTTAGCCAAGATATCAAAGTGTCCCTTGCTGGCTACAGTAACACTTGTTCAAGCGCCGACATAGTCCTGGTAGTGTTTTGCGTTCTATTTACATGTATAGAACCCCGCACCGGAAGTACCAACTTCTAATAGAAATGAAAAGTGGATAAGATCTATTAATGAAAAATTAACAAACATTTTTGGAATTGATAGCATAGTATAGTGTCCTTGTTTGGGGTACAGTGACGTTGCGCTTCATTGGTTATTTGTCTATCAGGGTGGCATGAACGCTTACTGATTATGAAACATAACATTTCTATAATATATATTTATTAACCTGAAGAAAATATGTTTGAAAATATCTAAATGTTTGCCTTCATTATACGTTCGGGCTATAAGACATCCTCATCTTTTATAGGAGTTTCGTCCAGATCGCTTTGCTGAGGATTCCGAGAGAGATCCCTATGGTTATGTGCCGTTTTCTGCAGGACCAAGGTATGGCATACCTAAGTTTCAATTACATTTGTAAAGGTTTTTGTATCTGATAATACAGATTGATATCCGTTAATATAATGTATATTTACTCTGATATTAAACCTTGAAATAAATACCTTTCTTGAAGACGCTGTGCCCATTTTTACGTCAATACTTTCTTATACAACTACCGTTTGTCATGCATATTTTCCTTTCCAAAAAGAGTATGTAAAATGTCGAGGGAAGATTAGAAAATGAAGTGATGTGACAGAAAAACACTTAATAACAAAGGCGTTCAATTATTTGCTTTAAAAAAAGAAGTATAATAGGAAAAATAAATACCAAAGTGTCAACCAACAATTACCAAATTGGAATTAGTGGTACAAAACGACACCAATAACAAACAACAAAGGGATGGAAAACCCAAAAGGGATCGATGTCCACTAACAAATGAGCCTAGCAAAGTTAGTGTTGTTTTATACATTTATAATTGTGACATCATTGGTTGTGTTTATTGGTTACAACTGCAGTAGGATTTTACAGTCTACCGCGTGATAGACCTAGACAATGACACGTCACAGCGAGTGTGGGGACTTTCCACCGCAGCATTTCCCTGATCACCTATGTAACAGTGCTATAAATAACTGTTGCTGTTATAATCAAAGACGTTTTAAATGTGTTGCACTAGTAATGCCCCCTTTAGCTCGGCGATTTACAGTAGTTACAGAGATTAAACAAGGTTATAAATTGGTATATTGATGGGTAGATAGATATCTCAAAGTATATACTTATCGGTCTATATATCAGTGGAATAATTCATAATCTAATCTAATCTATTAAAATCCTAATGCTATTTGGATTTTATTCACAGAAATTGCATAGGCCAGCACTTTGCCTTGGATGAACAGAAGGTGGCGCTAGCCAAACTGGTTCAGCGGTGAGTACATTATAAATGGCTTAATCGCAAAAGAATAACAACTGCCGAAGATGTTTGGTCTCCTCTGTGGATAAGATAAGGGTAGTAAATAGCATATAAATATATACATGTGTTGCAGAAAATGCAGAAAATGGACACACATTTGATTTATATTAGTTAAGCAACAAAATCAATTTACAGTGGGCATAACAATTACCGAAAGTAGAAACCTGTTAAAAGAGCAGGACAGAAATTGAAACATGTCACGAGAATTGCAATAAGTTCAGTTACTTAAGTGACTATCTGAATTTAAAAAGAGCCTATCCGGATAACTCATGGTGATTGCATAGATCTTTATAGATTTACCCGGTACAATCGTCTCGATTACAAAGTTATGTGTTGCCTTAGTTACAATGTAAACAAGATAAACAGTAGAACTGTACACAATACCAGAGGATAATCATACTTTTTATAGTTATTCCTTCTAATTGTTTGTTTCAGATTCCGGGTACTTCCTGATCCTAACAATGTACCGATTCCGAATAAAGAAGTTGTGACTCGCGCTAAAGATGGAATCTACATAAAACTAGAAAAACGATGATTCTATAAAACCAAATTGACACTATCGCATTGCCTATATTTAACCAGCAATGGGATGTATATAATCACATGCAAGTACTATACTTGCCAAAATCACTTCTATCAAATAATATATGATTTTAGAATGCAATGTCTACTATGATTTTACTTCTGCAGTTTCGTCAACATTCACAAACAGTTGTAAAGAGATTATACATACTGCGACGCCATTTCAAAATAGAAAAGGATGTTTTCGAGCCTAATATGTACTGTTTATGTGACTCTGGTTTGTAGATAACAATCACACACCAACCACATAAAGAATGTGTAGATTACTACATAAAGAAACAAAAAATATTGCATCATAATTCTTCACAGATGACCTAGTTCTACTCGAGCCATCAACATTAAACGTTCAGATTTAAATTAGCCACGTAAGTTAATTGTGTAACAACTGGAAGCTATCCGAGATCCATACTGGATCAAACATTGTGTATTTTCGCCATTCTGTTCAGCAAGTTCATGTTTACATCATGGGAACCAGAAACTTAATATTTTGGGAAAATACAAAAACCACGATATATGGTCTGATATCTCATCTTTATTTCCTCCAAATTGAAGAGCATGATAATACATAATGAATACATACATTGCTTAACAAAACTCGTTGATTCCCTAGTCCAACCTATTGTATTACATGACTCATCAATCTGGGTCAGACGTAGCACAGATTGATTAATAACATTCAAAACCGTGCAATGAGACTTTTTTCTCGGCGTAAGTAGACGTTTACCATCAAATATTTCGAACCACGGTAAAATGGGACTGTGTTCTTGTCTACCAGAACAGCGATTAGACGTACACAGACTGTATGTCCATCTAGAAAAAAGGGAAAATAATAAAGTATTGTATAAAATGAATAAGTGGTCTTCTCGTCGTGATAACGTATGGGAAGACAGAGCCCGAAACAAGCCGTGAGGCTTAATATTACTGATTGCCTTACGGGTATAGGATCATTTTGATATAAATGGCGGATGAATCATAGCAAATTTAAAGGATAATAAAACTCCAGATCATTACGTTTAGTGTAATTTGTCAAGAATGTTTTTTCGAAGCACATTGGCAAAATTGAGCTTGATGGCGTCCCTTTTAGTCAGAATTGCGGCGTATCCAGATAGATTCCTTACGCCTTGGACAGGTTGCCATTGCTGTCTATTATTTCGTAATATACCCCAGTCAACCTGGAATCTGTGACTTTTTTTCTGTCTGACCTATTGTATTTCTTATAGACAATTTGACGTTCCTTAATCGATGATTTAATCTAAACACGTTCTAAATTTACGCTATCGTCTCTCGAAAACAAAACAAATATGTAAATGCTGTAAGTAGACTGGCGTCCACCTGTTATTACGCTTTGGAGGGTCATATATTCTTAGGTCATCTGTGGTCAGTTAACACATTTTGTAACAAGAAACCATGATTTATTTTGTATATTATCACTCTCCTCCTTAAATCAATATTTAAATAAAGTTTGATTTATTCGTTGCATGTTACTCGTCATTATTTGACATTGACTGTAATAAACGTCCCAATGCTTTAGTAAAACAGTCTTGTCATTTGCCTTGTAAACATCACCATTTTATCAGAAAGACAAATTATACAGGGATTTAATTGTCTCCATTGTCATCTTGCGTTTCTCCCTCGAATGTTTTGTTAAATTAAAAAGACTGTCTATACGCCATTGGTTACAGCTGCTCTGTACTTTTGTATTGAACTAATTTGTAATGTAATAGCAACATCATTTGCATTCTAAATAAGATCCATCAGTTTGATATGAATAATAAAGAAAGACAAACAGGAATCGGAAACTTATTTTGCGAGCATTCGACAAGGTATAAATGACCAATATCTTTACTCGAAGCCGCTGAAAACAACTCACTAAGCCACAGTGGGCTGAATCAGTATAGTCAGCTGTCAAAAATCACAAAGATCTAGATCTTTCGCCCAATTGCACTCTAATACTGCAGGCAGTCAGAAGGTCGGGTAACATGTTTACCCATTCCGCCCTTTAGTGGATGGTAAAATGGGGTCATAAAGATGACTCGGCTAGTGTCCCCTTTCGTTGAATATCCTTCCCTCCTAACCCATGTAGTATTATCCTAACCCAGGAAGTATTATCCTAGCCCAGGTTGTATTATCCTAACCCAGGTAGTATTATCCTAACCCAGGTTGTATTATCCTAACCCAGGTTGTATTATCCTTACCCAGGTTGTATTATCCTAACCCAGGTTGTATTATCCTAACCCAGGTTGTATTATCCTAACTCAGGTAGTATTATCCTAACCCAAGAAGTATTATCCTAACCCAGGTAGTATTATCATAACCCAGGTTGTATTATCCTAACCCAAGTTGTATCATCCTAACCCAAGTAGTATTATCCTAACCCAGGTTGTATTATCCTAACCAAGGTAGTATTATCATAACCCAGGTTGTTTTATCCTAACCAAGGTAGTATTATCCTAACCCAGGTAGTATTATCCTAACCAGGTAGTATTATCCTAACCTAGGTTGTATTATCCTAAATCAGGTAGTATAAACTGAAACGTTGTTTTACCTCACCTGACGTTATTAGGCAGAAAAAGAAAGGAAAAATATCGCGAGTCTCTGAAGTTTTAGAATACATGCGCGGATTTTATAATCATTTTACTCTGTACATGTACAGTACATCGTGCTGCATGTAACGCCATTCCTAGTACTAGACTATCACAGTCCGTGTCGAGTGTATCAAGCTGACTAGAGCGGGACGTTTCATGTAACGCCATTCCTAGTACTTGACTATCACAGTCCGTGTCGAGTGTATCAAGCTGGCTAGAGCGGGACGTTTCATGTAGCTCTTTTTGTAAGTATACACCAAATCGAAAGTTCGAATAAATGAACTATGTCTTCTGGATCCCTGACGTGTACACATAATACTTCCCTGGTATATATGTGTTGGTTTTTTTTAATATTTTCTCATTTACAATGCCGTCGTTTTGACAAGAACACGATATTTACACTAGTCACATTCAAAACCATGACATTATATATCCTCTAATAAATCAATTTACAGCTCGACCAATGGTAAGGGTTTCTCTCGTTTTCTGTATAATGTGCATACCATGTACGGGGCTGAGGCTCCCCTTACGAGTCGAGGTCACTTTGTATATTACCTGTTGACGAAAGCATCGGTCAAGATTAGTTCCATGTTTGACATTTATGACAAGAACGGTCGCGGTTTTTGACGGGAGATGCGTAAATTGGACATAAATCCTTATACTTATTGTCATTTATGAGGATAAGTACAATGGAATAAAATCACGCGCCAATCTTTTTGCAACGTCGTGAAAGGCATTATTGACTGTTGAAATAATAAAGCTATATTTTACAGTTGTAGATGTACGTGGGTCCATACGATTTACGTATTCGGGGGGAAATTAAACGGATCACACGCACGACCTATTGTCAGAAGATATATACCAATGGACTGGAGTTGACCATGAGAGATCCTATGGTTGATACACGTAACAGCTAATGTTGGGTTGTGGAGAGCCAATAAGTTTCAAAACCACGCATGTTCTTAAAGAGTTTTGATGTGAACAAGGCTTGTCAACTGTGATTAGATATTTGTAGCATTATGGAGCGTGGAATATTGTGTATTTTGCTGTTGTTGGCCCACTTAGACTATATAGCGGGGAGAGGTAAGAGCTTCTGTTTTCATAGTTCTTCATAGCTACAGTTTTGTGAAGTTTATACTCATTTTGATAACGTTCCATCAATGTATCATTTTATCCGTTTGACGTATATCATGTGACAAGTTTGAAGTTCACCTGAACTTCTATAACCGAAAAAAATAAAAATGTATTTGTTTAGTAATATATATATATATTAATACAAACTTGTATCTCAATATCTCATTCACTACATGCTTGTGTTCAATGCATTGTAAGGAAAGCGATATTTAAGGATGTATGTTACCTTAACCTGTATGGATGTGATTTGTATTCGGAGTGATCTCTCTTACAAACTTTATTCGTATTACCTACTTGTTGCATGTAATTGTTCTCAATACTTGAATTTTATTTACATTTCAAACCTGTCAAGAAAGGTATTTCATAAAAGATAAAAAAGTCCAAAATAATTGAAGGAAAATATTCTCACAAATTTTCATGTCTCTGAGCGTGATTCCTTTTGGAAATACATACCATTTCACAGTGGGCTAGGCTATATTACATTTATACTATTAAACTGAAATAAATGAAGCTCAAGTCTATTTTGCCTTTTCCAGTAATAAATTCTAAAGATCGGTGCAGTGCAAAGGCTGACGTTATTTTCTTAATACCAAGAACAGCTAACAATGGCACAGCTGCTGATTTCGAGACGTTTTCGCCCCTTGAAGAATTTACTACCAAAGTTATTAATTATTTCAATATTAAAGAAACCGCTTACAATGTCGGTCTTGTGATGTACGGCAGAATGGCCGTTGTTATGACGCATCTTCGACCATACCGGAACCGGAAGTTGCTCAACACGGGAGTTTCACTAATGTCAAATACAAAACGATTCAAGAAAGAACTCGCAGGTGAGGTCAACGTGATAGACGCTCTAACGGTTATGACGGATATGTTTACCAATAAATTACAACGGCCAAATTTTGATCCGAAGAACACCGTCAAAAAGATTGGTGTTTTGATTTTAAGAAATGAAACTTTAATAGTTAATACTGAAGCTGTAAACATGGCAGCAAAAATGCAACGAAAGGGAATTACTCTGTATGTGGTCATGGAGGGAACATCTGGTGCAGAATTTGCATTGGCCGTAGCAACGGATGTGTGTAAAGTATATACTGTGGACAACCTTGGCGCAGACCTGGACCGGATATTGCCTTATTTCGGCAATAGCCTGTGTGGAGGTAAATTACATTTGATACACATAGTATTGGGGTTACATGTACTGTTAACATTTTATGATATGACAAGGCTGTTTTATATAGAGATACGAGACAGAAAATACCAACGTATACAGTAGTTAATGGACGTTTTTTGGTGTTTGCTTATATGAAAGAATGGATGGTAAAATAACATATAGGTTCTTGACAATGGATCTGTTTAAAGAAATAGTCAGGGTCGGATCCTGGGTTTTATGTTTTAAGGATGAGAAGTCCAGTTACACGCCAATGTTTAAAAATCTCCTTGAGATCAAAATAGTGTACATTGTAAAACGGTTCGCCGAAACACATGTGATTTTTCGTTTCGATTACCGAAAGCCTACTTCTTTGAAAAATATATTACTGAGGAATATTTGTAAACAACCTTATGTTGTCATTAAGTTAATCTGCTTACAGCATTTAACAGTTTAGATGAAAGAAATGGTGACTATAACTGATTTCAAACCCGTCTTTGCTATCTCGTTTGGGATTATTTGTATGAATGAAAAGCTCAGATTATTTTTGCCGTGAAACTATCTTTAAAATTTCAGTTTTATTGGGAAGCATGATATTTTATTAAATGTACTTACATTAACATATTTACGTGTCATTTTCAGTTACCAACAATGACATGGCCAACATTACGGCGCCAGACGCGATGAGTAATTGTCAGCCAGGTAAGCACGATATACTGTATATCTTCTGATAGTTAAAGGATGGTAGAACATCATAGGATGTCATTACGAATTAACCCCATTAGACTGTTTCGCGCAGCTGGACGTAGGCCTACTGGACATGCATGTGAACCAAACTGTCTTTTAACTCCCGTCAACTCCCGTCAACAACAACAGCGTTACAGTTACATACAGACTGATACTGTATGCGTGGATGTTTTATGAAGATACGTATTTTCAATCTTTATAGCTGTATTTACTTATAAAAAACATCATACTTGTACAAATGTATCTTGAAATACGATCAAGTCAAAATCATAATGTAGATACGTGTACATGATCAAAATGATATCTTCATATTGTTCAAAATATACTTCATTTTGTTAATGTGTATACTGGTGAAACTGGATTATCCAGTGGCCAATCTGGGGGATAAGGACTTCCCTAGTTTCCAGACCGAGCAAGCAATACTAACCAACATGTACCTCCTTAGAGATAGCGATCCTATCCCATTCAATACGATTATTGTCATGATTACACAATTACTGGCTATGAGAAGGTGTACATAAATTGAGAAAACCTACTGTGACCCTGGTATGAGTGCTTAAAATGCGTTTAAACAGTGATTCCTCCCAATTTTCTCAATTCATAAGAAGTAATATCAGTGACATCAGTGAATTCCGAATGTTTCAATCCTAAACTTAGGCTTCAAATACATTAAGACTTGCTTATGCCAATAATAGATTTGTAGAGAGTTGTTGTAAATGTATGTAACTATTACATGTCATGATAATACGTACATGTATCATCGGTAAGAAACTAACACTATACATATCTGTAGAAGCCCCACCGATTTGGTTCCCTGTCTCGGTTAACCTTGCCTTCATCTTATATCTAGGTATATCCACTCATTATTTGATTACTACTAAAACTTGACTTTTTTATTATTAATCTAGCAATTATCTACACGCCACCCGCTGCCCCGCACAACGTCACCTGTGACGAAGTCTTCATCAACGAACTGAAGGCCGATGTGAACAACTGTGCCTACTTCTACCGTTGTGATGGGATTGTTCCAGAAAGGTTGCGTTGCTATGCCGGTGACGTATTTGACGGATCTACGCAGACTTGTAGCCATAGGAACTCAGTCACGTGCTATTCTCAGCTGGTTTGTCCTCGACCCACGGGTCTGTTCCCGTACCCAGGGGAATGTCGGCGGTTCCTGAACTGTTACGAGGGTTTGCCTTACGTACAGAGTTGTCCTTTTGGACTAATATTTGACCAGAACAAAAAACGATGCGTACTTCCGAGTGACACTGCATGTCAATATTAAATGTTGTAATCAAAAGCACAGTATGTGATCCCATTTCTTTTTCATTTCAATCTAAGTTATTGCTATACTTGATGGGATGACGTCAATAACCTATATTGTACGTAAGCCTGTAACTATTCACAGAAAATACAATGTTACCAATTAAGCTCGTGGTGGTACAGTCAAAATAACGACTAACACCAGAAAATAATGCATTAGAACAAGCCAAGCCACATTTGTAAAGTATAATTAAATATGTCAGATCCGACACCATGAGGATGTGACTTCACTTTTTTGCGAACACAAATCTTCACAAATAAAGTCGTCTGAAGCATAGTGTAGCGAAAATGGAATCATTTACAGCGTCAATTTTCAAGAAGTAAATGTCTATTGTGTTTACAGTATTGTAAGGAAATAGATTGGAATCAAATTTTGTTCCCATTGAAAGTAAATGAAATATTTAAATCACACCATCTTATTGTCGTAGAGTAACTTCTCCGTTCGTATCGGTCAGAATAATTCCATGATTTGGATAACACGGTGATAAAAAATTAATAATTAAATATAAGATCTAATTTTCTCTTTTTCTACTATTAGTCTTTTTATATATACAATCATACAAAAACATCAGCTGGATTTTTTCAAGTAGTTAGATTTTTACAAAAAAAAATATATTAATTATCAATTACTGTTGATCAACATTAATGAAGTTTGTTTTTTATTATAAACAACATGGTTTTTGACAGTCCGCATATTTTACAGTCTGAACGCTTATCGTAAATTCTTTTTACCGATTTAGTCTACTCGCGAAAGGTGTTCACAAACACGGAATGGCGAGATGTCGTACTGTTGCGTTTTATTTGTATCAAAGAATTAATAAGTGACAAAATGAAATTTGAACACTATGAAGTAGACGGATGTTTTGATGTTAGATTTACGCTATTGAAACCAATATCTTACTTCGGGGTATCCGAGTTTTTCGACTTTTCAGGGTTCGAATTATCAGAGTTTTTATTTACTAAGATAAAGAAGAGACTTGGCCGGGAACGGAGAAATACATGTACTTCGAGATAAACGGGGTCTTCGAGTTAAAATAGTTCGAGATAACGAGGTTCGACTATACATTTAATATAAAAAAAACACAGTCACTTACTACTACTTATCAAATACATCTGTATGCCTGTGAGCAAGGAAGGCATGTACTGTCCCAACGATAAATATCAGGAATAGCTTCCGGTTTATCGGCAAGCACAATCTACACACCATACACATACACACACACTGTCCATGATCATCAATTCACTAATACAATTACCTGGAAACGACGGACTTAAATCTAAAATTAAACTGTAATTAATGCCTCAGCAAGATGGGTGTAACCTATTTGCTCTGAGTAAGCATCGATTAATTAGTTCACTTGAATATGGCTACTTTTCTAAGCCCGACTAGCTTAACGTGTCCTTTTTCGAGTAATATCGAAAAGGCCCTGGATCAACAACAAAACTATGGTGGAAGGGGAGACAATTCAGGGACCGACAATGGACAGTTCTTAGCTGTGTGCCTTATTATCTTTGCTGCATTCAATCGGACACTGAACACACGAGGAAAGGATTTAACACTTAATGCTGTAAAACACTTGTCGACATAAACAACAACTGTCGCCCTTGATACCGAGAACTGATGTATATGAGAGAATGTGTATGAACTTACTTCGACACGTATATAGTGTACACTATGTTCATATGCAAACAAAAAAGTTAACATCTTAATTCTACATGTAAAATGTCAAACAACATACATTCTTGCTGTGATAATAACAATTTTGACAGAGAACATTTCTGGCGATAAATATTTCTGCGCCAACGCTAGTTACTTTAAATAAAATAAAATCTTGTATACAGTTATGTTAAACATGAATTCCGCTGCAAAGGGTTGATCGGAGTTAATGTGTGACTACTGTGTTAACATGACCAGTATCATACTTGTGGAGACTGTCCATACCACCGATGTCTTATCATGTCCTTCATAAACTGTCCCTTCATCACATTTATTTGTGCTTTACTCAGACTCAGCTTGGCGAGAATAACAATCTTATGAACGATGGTGACAGATCCATTCCATGAAGTATTACTTCTTCAATTCTGCTGAATATTCACTAAGTCATTACTAAAATACCCATCCAAGAGACGGGTTGGGCTTACACAGGTTGTCCTTTTGTCCTATTCGTCCCAGGTTTGATAAAAGTATGCTGTACTTGATGTAATTATGTAGATGTTTCCGATACAACAAGTACCATAAGTAGAGCGTCAAACCTTGGTCTGATTATTTCTTAAAACAGGCGAGTTCCCGACAATGTGACCTCTACAATAATTTAATTAATAAACAAAACAAATATCCGGAATGGAGTTATTTCCCTTTAAACCGCAATCTGCATTTTACATGACAATGGGGGAATGAGATAACGTCATCCTGATGGAACATTAAAGTGTGCTAAATTAGAAGCCATTTAATCCGAATGACGTACAGTTTATCATGGATAATGGCAGCTGTTAACCTTATAACTGGCTGTTTATAGTATTAAACAGAGCTAAGTGGTTGTTCAGCCTGATTAGAGGACGAGTCGTTAACGGACGTTTTGAAAATGACTTTTTTTTTTTGTAGGAAAATAGATGTCTATAGATTCATAAAGATTTCTTTGGGTTTTTTTATCTGCAGAAGTTTGAATCAAGATACATGAAATTTAATTTTGAAACTTGAATATTGGTTAACACAAACTTCATGACACTGACGTTTGGTATAAAGGAACCCTATACCAGTATATGAACATCTAGGCACTGAACGGCAATTCAATAGACGTTTATTTTATTTTATTTTAAACGTTGTTTTTTTTTACGATAAGAAACTATTATTCTAAGTTGCATGGTCATGATATACTGTTTTATTCTGTGAATTCACTAAAATAATTATAATGTGCATCATACATTTTTGTACAAACTGATCGTACTTAGCCCTTTCTATTATGCACAACAATCTACACATACTATGTTAATACTTAGATAGCATGCTTAAAAATGCAAATTTACAGACATGAAATAACAAATATACAAGTGTCACTCTCTATGTACAAGCTACCAGCCACTCCCCCGACGTTCATGCCCGCTCCTCCGCTCTTGTTCTTAGTAACGACACAGTGTATTTCTGCGTTTAGCTTACATTAAATGTACATACTCATTAGTATTCTCAATAATCCTATACCCTCCAGTTTCTGTAGCCTGTTTACATATATCATAATGTTGACTTTGATTTTCTGACAGGTAAACATTACGTTCGGTACACCTCCCTGTAAAATACCTATCAACATGCGATAGTTTATGAGTTCGTTCGGAACCTCCCACCTCTATTGTGTAGATTTAAAGCTCACCTGTAGTAGCTTAGGGATTCATAGTGTCATCAACGCTGTAACGGTCTAATGTTCAGGTGTGTACGGTTGTAAAATGGAGGAAAGTACTACTGCTCTGGAGTGGGGAGATATTTTAGTTGTGGTTGGATATTTTGTGGCTGTCATCGGCGTCGGAATAGCGGTAAGTTCCAATATGTCCATGTCTTAGAATACATTTAAACACGTATGCATTAATAGTTTCAATATTGTTTTTAAACATTATAATCGAAAGCAACATACACAATGCCTATCCTGCTTTTCCAGAGACGTTTGAGCAGGTACTGTTGTCAAGATGTAGATTTGCATAAACTGACAGGCGATTCAGTGATGTCATGATAGCTATGTATATACATGTCGATAGTGGTAGATGATCAAATTTTGGAAATTCAGTACAAATGCAACAGACAATTTTTAAACCAATCTCAAGTTTTTACGAGGCATAATCCCTCGAAAATTACGGGAAGGTGCACGTGTTTAGGCTACTACTATGAATAACCAGGTGACTTATGTCACATTTGTACAACCATAAGGTAAACAGTTTATTTAATGTGTTCAGAAATGTATAGGTTAATCAATTGTAGAATATGTGTGTGTATATATAGATAACACTGTATATATATTTGTGACGAAATTCTCGTAATCAGCGAACCGGAACCCCTGTCTGACTACGCATATGCCTTTGTATGGCGGCGACGCTTACCTGTAGCTGTTTATCATTACATACATAATGTATTTATAGACCAGACACACCCATTGTTCAATAACAGAGGGATCTCTCATTGGGGAAAATACAACCTAAAATACGTGTACACAAATTCAGAAAGAAACGGGGTCACGGTGCGTATCCCTGCAATACAAGCTGACGAAAACTAAATTATTTAATGATTATAGTTGTTATTGCTTCATCAACCTCCTGACAGAAAAGATTGTTTTCTCGCAAACTAACGTAATTGGATTGAAATTTGTTTACACCCGCCTCATAATTCGGTTTATTCTGATGTGAATGAGCACATACAGTGTAGCAAATACATACTAATTACAGAAGGGAAATCACATCGAGAAATTATACGATGATTTGTCTGTATATATAGAGATTACGGGTACTGTAGTTTTATCATCAGCATTCCAGCCCCAACACAACTAGAGATGACATTATCACTGTTAATATGATATACAACTGATACATTGTAATTTGCATTCAGCTNGGGGGGGGGCTTTAAGAATGGATAGAAAGTATATTCGTTCGATCAATATAGCTACATGTATATACAGTAAACACGATAGAGTGACGTCACATAAAAATAACCTGCCGGATACCGGATATTCGGTTTGTCAGATAAACAACACGTGTGATAAATATCGTTATTTCTTGGTGAAATTACGAAATAATACAAACAAGAAAAGAAATACATACACAATGTATACATAAACTTTATCATACAACAAGTATGATACCAGTTATTTCAAATAATGTTAATTTCTTTAACGGCCCGAGGAGTAGCGCGCGGGGGGTCTTAAAGTGAGAGTACCCGGAGGAAACTCGCATGCTCTAAACCCTTTCACGTCAGATCAGGGAATCGAACCCGACTGCATTGGTGAAAGGTCGAATGTCTTATCGACTGCTCCACTCGAACACCCGCAGTAGTTAAGGATACAAAAGATTCTTTTCGGAATTGTTAATCTTTTATGATATCAATGCCCACATTCAGAAATGAAATAGCGATAGCTCGCTTGTCAGAGTTGTTTATCCGAACTTGTGTATCCGATTTTTTTGTATCCGGAGTTGTTTTTCTAGACGGCTGTATCCGAAGTTTTGTATCCAGAGTTTGGTTAGCAACAATATCAAACGTTTAATCAAGATATTGAAACTCACACGTCAGATAAGCTTAACTCACCGGCTCTTACTTGTCTGTTTCTGTCATCGCCAGAAGGAATCACCGAATCTCGTTGTTTCATGTCACGTTCGACTATTTTGGTCCATGTTTTAACAAATAAAGAGACTTTACTTACGTGATGAATGTCATAGTTAATGGGTTTTACTTGCAAGATCGAAAAGTTACATTGTAAATGCAAATATATAACCCTACCACATGTACATACACAAACCTATCAGCGTACATACCGTCACTTATGTCGTGTTTAATGCTTATTGTATTATGCTAATCAGCGTCGAAACGCAATTTGTTTAGTCACGTACATTCCGTAACTAAAATGACCCCCGAGTGGCCCCATCATAGGTGGACATCGTATTCATATGGCCTTAGCAGAAAACTCGGAACACATTTCAACCACAACCGCAAAAACGAGTTTCCAACTTGTTGTATAGCGAGATATTCCACGGCTGTACTAAAACAGACGATTAAACTGGATCAAACCAACTCGACAACACTACAAAGCGGTTGATGTCTCGTGTTTTTGAGTATTTACTTGAAAACATTTATGTTCATGAGATACGTATTAAGCTTCACCCGACCATTGTTGCGCACTTGTAGCCTCCTTTACTAATCAAGATTCGTTTTTCGATAAGTCATAAAACACGACCATCAATATACACATATGAGGGTTCACGCCAAGGTACTGCTGACGTTTAATCTATGTCTGATATTGCTCAAACTTGGTATGTATATAAATGCATATTGTATCATGGCATTACAGATGCTTTTTACTGCATTATTTGTATCAGTGGGACTTACAGCCATTTCGGATTGATCTTATCTCCGATCAGTACAGTAATTATTTGCAACCACCCCTTGAAGTTTGGAAAGCTACTATGTTTGAGTACGTGAGAAAAGCCTCATCGACTGTAGATTTAATATACAGCCTGTCTGTTATCCAACTTGATACAAACCATAACATTGAACATCTGAAATATTTTGACGATTTCGATTCTAGGTATGTAAACAGTGTTATCACATTGAGTGCACACATGATATATAATGCAATCTCCTTTTGATCAAGGTTTAAGTGACTCTTGAAAAGATTACAGGAGTCCATAAATTATACGTAAGGTGTTTGTGAAACTTTGCTGTTATGTAAGTTAGGTTTACCTATATATATTACGCTATTCTCCAACGATACATATATACCTAAACATTAACTTGACTGTTAGGTTTATAAAATATTTTAATTATCACGTGAAAAATATTACAATTACCAAGCACTTGACAACAAGAAAAGTGGTTCTCATTGTCGTAATTAATTCAGAAAAAAACCTGTTCACAAAAATGTAACCCCGAGTTCGTCCAGACTAAGGCATGCACACGAACGTTGTAATACCTGTAGGTAGAGTACGTACAAACACATACTTATGTGGTGACGTCATTTGTCCTTCGTAAGGATAAGGTTGTTACCACACCTGTATACTTTCTGCGATCGCAAGGTATATTCAAGTTACATAGATATCATTCGAGTGGTATCCTTTTATATTATTTGCTTAAACAGACGACGGCTCATTGTGTCAAAGAATGGTAAACCGCTGGATTTACCGCATCCGCCAGGCTATAGGCCAGGGGAAATTACTCGTGTCAGAAATTGTTTAAATAATATGCTTTTCCATATTTTAATTTCTAAGTTTCAGCATCAATAATGAACTAGTTTTACTCCATAGTATAAATTGGAAGGTAAATATGATATGACGAAGAAAAGAACAGACGAGAGACAACATTAAGCATTCTTTTTCGTATAAAATATAAAAAAAATCAACTATCCCGTATTCAGTCATTAGTCATAATGATAAATAATAAACCTCCCGTGGGTTGTCAGTTGTATGTTTGGTTATCAGTGATATACACATGTATATCTTAGATACAAGAGTGCTTCGTACCTGTATTGCACCGCTACACCTAGGTCTACCACATTTAGTACAATAAATACACATAACGGGCACTTTCATTTCCTAATACACTCGCTTTTAAATGATCATACAATATCCATTTTGCGAGAGATTTGGAGCGTGTTTCATTACAATCACATCCAATGGCGATGAATTCCATATTTCTTTTACCGCAGTACAAAACATATTTGTGTATATTCAGGAAAATCATGCTTTCTGTGTTTCATTGGAAGTTTAAAAGTTCCCAGTTTACTTACAATCTTTGTCTACTACATTGTGACGTCATGTCTATGCCTATGTTCCAATGAATCTTTAAAACATTCATATTTGTAATTTTTGTTACAAAAACAGAAAATATTCAGTGTCTATTTTTAGTAACAATAATCAGCCGCCGAATACATGAATATTGGACCTTCACCTTGTGTTTCGTATGTAGGCCACCCTCCCATCTACCCTGTTTGTCGTTCCAGGTCGGAAGGCTCACACAAAGAAGTCATGACAGGGAGGGCGTGAAACATGATATTTTGTAGCTTCGAACTATCGCTTGTTTGTCCTTGTAATACGATACAAATGCACATGTGTCTTTAATAACATGCCGTATAATGTTTTTTTTTTCCATATCGCCAATGTTTGGCATTGGGAGATTTTGTATTTGCATTTAGATTTTAATTTTTGAAAAGAAAAATGAATAAAGATTAAAAATGCTCAAATGGTTAATTAAATGTCTAAATATAACTTGACAAATAAAACAGGTTTACAAATTAAAATTATCATAGATATTAAACGCGTTTAATACATTATGTACGTACGACAAACACACTAGATAGAAGCGACACATGAGTAAATTGATTATAGCTTCAACGTAAAACATAAATACAAAACAGGTTTTACAAGTTCAAAGTCACACAATGTCTTACACACGGAACTGTGTACGTAAATATTATGAGCGCATTCCGGCGCTGAATTAATTCACCAAAAAGACGGGTGTTGACAAAAATGACAACAGTAAGCTATGATTGCAGAAGATTTAAAGACATCAACAGACATACAAATGCATAACCCATGTGTATAATATGAATTAGAGGACCATATAGGCAGTGTTGATATATAGGCGGACTGTACTGTATATAATATAAGTAGAGACATTGTGTCTCGGCCTGTACTGTATATAATATATAAAGAGATAGAGAGAGAGATGTTGTGTCTCGGTCTGTACTGTATATAATATATAGAGAGGGAGACGGTGTGTCTCGGTCTGTACTGTATATAATATATAGAGAGGGAGACGGTGTGTCTCGGTATGTACTGTA